CTGCTAGCACAGAGCCCAACACAGTGATTGATCCCAGGACCCTGAGATCATGGCCTGAGCCGAAATCAAGAGCCAGCCACTTAACCAACTGAACTACCCAGGTGCCCCACTTTGTTGAGGATTTTGCATGTATGTTTATCAGAGGTATTGGCCTGTAGTTTTCTTTTTTTGTAGTGTCTTTCTTTGTTTTTGGTATCAGGGTGATTCTGGCCTTGTGGAATGAATTTGGAAGGCTTCCTTTGTCTTCTCTTTTCTGGAGTAGTTTGAGAAGAATGAATATTAACACTTCTTTAAATGTGTGGTAAATTCACTTGTGAGTTGTTTGTAGGGTGCTTTTTCATTACTGATTCAATTCTACTGCTAATAACTGGTCTGTTCAAATTTTATTATTTCTTCCTGCTTCAGTTTTGGAAGGTTATATGTTTCTAGAAATTTATTCATTTCTTCTATGCTGTCTAATTCGTTGGCATATAATTTTTAATAATATTCTCTTATAATTCTTCATATTTCTGTAGTGTTAGTTCTTATTTCTCCTCCTTCATTTCTGATTTTATTTGAGTCCCCTCTCTCTTTTTCTTGATGAATCTAGCTAAAGATTTATCAATTTTGTTGATCTTTTCAAAGAACCTGTTCCTGGTTTCACTGATCTATCCTATAGTTTTTGGTTTTTTGTTTGTTTCTACCTTGTTTATTTCTACTCTATTCTTTATTATTTCCTTCCTTCTACTGTTTTGGGGCTTTGTTTGTTATTCTTTTTCTAGGTCCTTTAGAGGTAAGTTTAGGTTGTTTGAGATTTTTCTTATTTCTTGAGGTAGGCCTGTATTGCTATAAACTTCCCTCCTAGAATAGCTTTTGCTGCATCCCAAAGATTTTGGACCATTTTATTTTTCATTTTCATTTGTCTCCACATATTTTTTAATTTCTTCTTTGATTTCTTGGTTGACTCATTCATTGTTTAGTAGCAAGTTATTTAGCCTCCATGTATTTTTGTTCTTTCCAGATTTTTTCTTATGATTGATTTCTAGTTTTATAATGTTATGACTGGAAAAGATGCATGATATGAGTTCAATCTTTTTTAATTTATTGAGACTTATTTTGTGGCCTAACATGAAATCTATCCTGGAGAATGTCACATGTGCACTTGAAAACAATGTGTAATCTGCTCTTTTGGGATGGAATGTTCTGGATGTATCTGTTAGGGCCATCTGGTCTGATGAGTCGTTCAAAGTCACTGTTTCCTTGTTGCTTTTCTCTCTGGGTGATCTATCCATTGATGTAGGCAGGGTGTTAAATACCTCACTGTTATTATATTATTGTCAATTTCTTTCTTTATGTTTGTTAGTAGTTGCTTTATGTATTAAGTGCTCCCATGTTTGGTGCATAGATATTTACAATTATTATAGGTATGTAAAATTGTCAACCAAAGCAAATTTTAATAGAAAAAACTTCTATCAAATTTCAAGACTTTCTACACAACTGTTTAATAAAATTTTCTGTAATATTTGGCATGTTCTATAATTGTGTGCTACACTATGTAGTAGGCACTAGTTATATGCCGCTTTTAAGCATTTTAAATGTGCCCCCTGCACCTAAAGAGATACTTCAACATGTATATAGCCAACTGATTTTCCACAAAGGAACCAAGGCAATTCAATGGAGGAAAGGAAAGACTTTTCAATAAATGGTGCTGGATTGACTCAATAACCTCAAGGGAAAAAATTAGCATTGACTTAAATCTCTAGAATTTCTAGAATAAAATAGAAAATCTTTGTGCTCTGGCATTGCAAAGTTTATTAGATAAGACAAAGAAATACAAAATATAAAAGAAAAAATGTGATAAATTGTACTTCGTTAGAATGTAAAACATTTGCCCTTTGAAAAATATCACTAAGAAACAAAAAGGCAAACCACAAACTGGTAGAACCGATAAACATGGGGAAATATTTAAATAAGCATTTCACCAATGAACCAACATGATAATACTAATAGCTAGTTAACATAGCACTTATGTGTCAGACACTGTGTTAAGTGGTTTATCTTTATTAATTAACTTAATAGATTTAATGTAGTATTTTAAGTGTATAGGCTCCTGAGTCAGATCACATTTTGATCCACTCTTTACTAGCTTTGTAAGTTTGGATAAATTTTCTAATTACTCAGTTACACAGATGCCTCAACAGTAAATGAGGATAACAATAGTACCTACCTCATAGGAGTATTAGGAGGATTAATGATACAATACATGCTTTGTGCTTAGAAGGATGCTTAGCATTTGGTAAGAGCTCAGTAACGTAAGCTGTTTCTGTTTTCTTTGGAAGAAGGCAATGTTGTACAAAACCTGAGATGAACATTGGTGCTTTTATTTACTTATTTGTCAAATAGGTATATACTAATATCAGTCCTATCTAATTCATAAGGTTGTTCATTTATTTATTCACTCATGCATCATTATCTTATTTACAGTATTAAAAAGAATTTCAGTGAGAATAGAATGTTATGAGGCTAGAATAGAAGTAGAAAGATCTGTTAGAGGGCTTCTGTAGGAATCCAGCTGATGATGGTGGCTTAGAATATGACATTAACAGAGGAAATGAAGAGAAGAGATGAAACTGACATATGTTTTGAAGATATTTAAAGTCAGTTATTTTAAGAGATGATGCTATAGACAGCCTTCATTCCCATTGTAGCTGGATCTCGGGTAGGATCTTTAGAAAGTACTTCAAGTTAAATGAGGACATAGGATGTGGCTCATGGTGGAAGAAGGGATTAAAAGGCTCAAAGAGGTGAACAGCTAGAGTACCAGTGAATTAAGGTTATCCAGAAGACACTCTGTCAAGCAGTGAGGAATGCGCTGGTGAAGGAGGCATTAGGATCATAGAGATCAATGGTGGCTTCCTCTGTAGTCCAGGGCTGTGCCAGAATGGGACTCCCTAATAGCAATGGGAATAAGAGATTCTGAGATAATAGAGGCAACATGGCAGCATGTAACCATAAAAAGCAAAATGCATGGAATTAGCATAATGGGTAGCAAGGTCAGAGTGACAGCCAAGGGCCCTGACCTGAATGGAGTTGTGATGATAGTCAATAAAAACAGTGTTCCCCAGGCAGCCAATAAGAGTATGCTTAATTAATTTAACCAAGGGAAATGAGGACGGATGATCAGAAAGCTGAGGGCTCAAGCCCCAATTCATGATTCATGATTTGGACCTGAACTAAGCAATTTTCAGATTTGCCTAAAAGAGAGACTCTGTCCCCATGAGGAAGGATGCTAGAACAGCAGCACGTTTTGGCAATGATTTCCCTTATCCTTCTCCAAAGGGTCTCAGGTTCTTTCCTTAGGTGACTACACACTGGGGAGAAGGGAGTCCTGAAACATTTAGAGACTATTGGACACAACTGTACAAGTTGACATTAAAGGAAGTGTAGCTGTAGCCCCTCCCAGAACCAATGGGGGTCAGGTATTAAATAGAATCCTAATCTTGGTCTTGCTCACAGTGGTTCCACTGTGTTCACACCCCGTGGCAGGCTCTCCAGTTCTCAAGTGTATAATAGAAATATGCATACTTAGTAATTGGCAGAACCCTCTCATGGACTCCTTAGTTCCTTGGCCTGTGGGATTAACATAGTAACAAATACCATACCCTGGCTTCTGAAACTGCCCCATTCCTGTGACCAAGAAATCAAAAGAATTATCATATTCTGGATTGGGTGTTTAATTGGCTGGAAAAATAAAAGAAATTTCAGAAGAGGTGACATTGTTACAATATTCATTCTTCAGTTGCCAGAGAGATAAATATGCCTTTCCATTTATTCAGGATTTCATTTTGTTTTTGCAAATGTGGTTTCTTACCTATAAATATCACACTTGAGAGTTACTTCTAAATATTTTCAGATTTAATTGCCATTGTGAGTAAGAAGTTTATTTTATTTTCTGAATGTTACTGGTTTCTGAATAGCTATTCCTTAATGCAAGACTGGGAACTGTCACTTCCATGCTTCAGAAAAACACTTAGTTGAGGAGTATGCATGAGGAAAAAGTGACCAGTTCAATTTTGTTTTGTAGTGCCTTCTTAGCACAGTAGGCAGCACGTCAGTCTCACAATTTTGATTTGTATTTGGAAAAAGAACAAGTAATCATTTGTTCAACAAATATTTATTGAAGGATAGAACTATGTTCTTTGTAGGAATGCAAAGATGATTATGTGGACCTTGTCCTCAAGTAAAAGAGATAAATCTTTGTATCGATAATTCATAAAAATAACAACATGACAAAAAAAGTTAAGGAATTATTAGGGCAGAGAGACAGGTGGGAGGAGGAAGGGAGAGATCATCAGAGAGGAACAGAGGATGGGAGAGAGAAGGGTAAGGAGTAAGAATAATGGAGGTTGGGGAAAAGGGACTTGTCTTCTGAACAATGGAATTGCAGGGCACACTGTCAGCCTTGATAGAAGAAGGGCTGCAAGGATGACTTCAGAAAAAAAAGAGACACATTCTTAGTGGTTGTCAAAAGTTGAAAACTGAAAACATTTGCCTTATTGCATTGTTCTCTGTAAAGTAATATGCAAGGTCATCTGTAAATAGAGGACATTGGAATTTAAGAAGAAAAGAGGTTTTCAGATGACAGCATGGGAGACAGTATTGACAGCGTGGAAGATGAGTGAAAGCAAGATTTCACCAAATGTGATCTACACAATACCCACAGCAGAATCAACTCTGGGTGTTTGGTAAAAATAGAGAGGCCTCGGTCCCACTCTAAACTGAGTGTTCAGATGAGATCAGGTAATGTGAATTTGTACTTGGAACATTCAGTGCATTTGAATGTTGTATTAAGGCCAAGAAATAAGAAACAAAAGCTGTCTTTAACATTAATGGCCAATAAAAATATATTTACTCCTGTGATAAAGGCCCACTTATTGGTCATTACTTATGAGGAGATGACCAAAAAAAGTGGAAGGTGGGAGGAGAGAAAAGGTAAAGAAGTAAAGAAAGAATGGGGGAAGAAGAAAGAGGACAAAATGTAAATATTATAGAAAGTGAGATAAATACAAGAATACAAGATGGAAGCAGAAATGAAAGCAAAAAGGGAAAAGAAACACACAGTTACACAGGGAGAAATAAAAAAAACGTGAGGAAGATCTAAGTAGGTTTAAGGGTGAATATTAGCATACTCTGCTTTTTGTTTATTTTTAAAATTTTATTTATTGACTGATTTTTAAATTTTTTAAAGATTTATTTATTTATTTTAGAGGGAGAGAGAGAGAGAGAGAGTGAGCATGAGTGAGTGGAGGGGCAGAGGGAGAGAGAATCTCAAGGAGACTCTCTTTTGAGTGTGGAGCCCAACACAGGGCTCAACCCAATGCCAGGACCTTGAGATCATGACGGAGATGAAATCAAGAGCTGGCTACTTAACTGAGCCACGCAGGCACGCCCATAACCTACTTTTTAAATTAGCCTTCAAAGTCAGTTATCACTTTGTTTCTACCTTCTTTGCAGTTCTGGTTAGCAAATTTGCTACTCTTTCTTATAGGTAGAAATTTCAGCTAGCAATGTGTTGGCTAAACCACAGTGTTTCTCAGAAGTAAGATGTTTTTCTGCAGCACTTTTTGCCCTGGATGGCAAAGTTACCCCAATCTGGTGCTTTCATAGGGTTTCTAATCTGACTAACCCACAGGACTCAAATAACAAGGAAGACCGGAAAAACTTGAGATAGGGTCTGTAGACAGTTGTCCTGTATGGTAACCTAAACTTTGGTCACATACAAATCATCTGGTCACTATCTTTCCTGTTGTTAATCACTTGTTACTTAGGTAACTAATCAACTAACTCTCTCTAATCTGGGTGCTTGATCTCTAAATACAACACCACACCTGGTTTATATTCTTTTATAGATAAGTGGAAACTAAAACTCTTCCTTGTTATAAGCTCAGCATTCCTTTGTTGGAACTACAGCCTAACAGTGGTTGATGACCATCACAAAGAACTTAGTGCTTAGCTGCCCAACAGTATGGAGGCTTTTTTTGGAAATTCCTAAGTGAGGTCTTAAAGAGCACAATGGAAAACAATGAGGGAGAACCATTCTTCTTAGTGCTAAAATTTCCTATAAACTGTATTTATGTGATGATGTTCAGTGGAGTTGGATGAGATTCAGAGAGGCAACTGTTGGAAGAGAAAGAGGAATTTCTTTTAGTAGGAGCTAAAGAAGGCTGGTGGCCTCTGTTTACTCCATAGTCATCCTGACACTCTTACCTCTACCATGCCTGTGACCAAAAAGACATTCTCCTCTTCTCCCAAATTTTCAGTGTGTTCTTTCATGACTTTTCTTCCCTGACATTTTTATTATCATTTGATTTAATAAATATACAGATGCTTCCAATGGAATGGAGAAGTTCCTTTTTTTTCCCCAGAGATGACCTACTTATTAGCTCAAGCAATGTTCTCCCTTAAAAGTTTGCTTCTAGATAGAAGAAATACTAGGCTGTTGCTGTAACTTCATAGAAGATAGCAGTCTCAGATAGAGCTAGATTAATTTTTTAAATGAATCCTAATTATGTATTGTTAAAAAGTGTCTTAGGCCAAATTGAAATTGTATCCATATCCCCATATTTTATAGTATGCAAAACTAAAGCATAAAAATAATATGAAAATATAAAAACATGCATATGCTTTGGCCCAGCAATTCTCATTCCAAACAGAAACAAGACTGGGATATCACCAACAACTGCTATTTATCTTTCTTCCAGGGCCCACAGCTCATATCTCTGTCTCCTTTGCAGTTAGGTAGACTCATGTGACTGAACTCTGCATCATGCAATGTGGAAATAAGTGATGTTCACCACCTTAAGACCTGAGTTATAAAGAAACTTTCCATACAACCCTATAAACACTCTCTTTCTTGTATATGGCCACTGAAATGTTACATTTACTATACCATTTAGTCTATTTTCACAAATACACACTACCAACACCTTATATATAACATCGAGAAGGAGCACATAGGGATTAGAAAGCAGAAACAAAATGGCTAATTTTTGCTGATGTGGTAGTCTGTATGGAGCATCCAAGAAAACTGACAAAGTGTTTCAAATCATAGCAGAGCTCAGTTATGTTACTGAAAATGAGATCAATTTTCAAAATCCATTTATGTAATATCCATGCTCAAGCATCAAACTAGAAAGTGAAATAAAAAAGCTGCTGATTATGATATCAATGAACCTACATGGCAATCAAGATTAAATCTAATCCAAGATGGAAAAGAAGGATTTATAGGGAGAAGCATTAGAAAAGATGATCCAAATCATTACGGAAATATGGCGTGTGTGTTAGGGTGCGCCAAAGAAACAGTACAAATAAGATATCTATAGATATAGACAGATATAAAATATGTATTCTATATTATATATTATGTGTATGTATTTTCTTACGTTTCTGTGGATTAGAATCAACAGGCCTCACTAGGCTAAAATCAAATTGTCAGCAGGGCTGTATTCGTGTCTAGAGGCTCTAGAGGAGTAATTTCCTTGCCTTTTCCAGCTTTTGGAGACTGCCGGCGTTCCTGGCTCGTGGCCTCCTTCCTTCATCTTCAAAGTCAGTAATGTTCCACGTGCCTTCTCAATCTCCCATACTCGTATCTTTCTCTTACTCTCATTGCAGCTGGGAGAGGTTCTCTGCTTTTAAGGACTAGGCATTAGACTGGACCCATCTAGAAAATCCTATATAATCTCTCCATATCAACGGCTTTAATTTCATCGTATCTGCCAAGTTCCTTTACCATGCTAAGTAACATATTCACAGGTTCCAGGGATTAAGATGGGAACATCTTTGGGGAGGCATTTTTCTGCCTACCATGCCGCGATTCAAATTTTATATCAGACAGTGTGATACTGGTATAGGTTTATAAGGATATCTAGGGGGAAAATCATGTATATTGAGAAGCGTAGGCCTTTAGCTTTTCATGGAAGCTTTAGCCCTTCTGTTAGAAGACTTGCAAATAATAGGGTGAAGGATAAATTATTTGATACTTGGCACAGGGGCAAAGCATAAACAGATTCCTACATTAGATTTTATCCACAAGTGAGTTTTTAAAATAATATGAAAGGAGAAGCTAAATCTTTTAGAAGAAAATAGTAGAGAATAATTAGAAAATACCTTTATGGCATTTTAAAACATTTCTTTAACAGGATACTAAAAGCAAAACCATAAAAGAAAAAAAATTGGTAAGTTTGAGCACTGTAAATATGAAAGAAAATTTCATGAACAAGACATCACAAATAAAGCAAAAAGACTGACAGGGACATATTTTGCAAACTGTATCTTAAAAACCAGTAAGAAGAAAAAGACATACATGCCAAAAGGAAATGGGTAAAGGATATAAACAGACAACTCACAGAAGAAGGAGTATAAAGAGTTGATAAAAATATTTTCAATATCATTAGTAATCAGGGAAATTAAAATTACAACCTCAATGAGATAATTTCACAACCATTAAATTGACAAAAATTAATTAATGGGATGACACCAAGGGTTAGTGATGATGTAAAGAAACAGCAATTCTTATTTATTGCTAATGGCAGTGTAAACTGTTGGCATTTTAGAGTACAATTTGAGGGGCTCCTAGGTGGCTCAGAGGGCTAAGCCTCTGCCTTCAGCTCAGGTCATGGTCTCAGGGTCCTGGGATAGAGCCCCGCATGGGGCTACCTGCTCAGCAAAGAACCTGCTTCCCTGTCTCTCTCTCTGCCTGCCTCTCTCTGTCTCTCTGCATACTTGTGATCTCTGTCAAATAAATAAATAAAATCTTTTTTTTTTTTTTTTTAGAGTACAATTTGACAATACCAGATAAGGACGAAGATGGTCATTCTATAGAATCTAGCAATTTGACTTCGAGATTTCCTCTCAAGGCTACATGTACAAAAAAGTTCATTTCAGTGTTGTCTGTAATAGCAAAAAATAAACAAGCAAAACTCACCATCAGGAGTCACACTTTTCTGTGAACTCTCATACATATATGTATTTTAATAAAAATACTCAATTAGAAAAAAAGCAACATGCCATCCTATTAAATGGGGTGAACCAACAGTTACTGAGGACTTGAACTGGTCCCTTAGAAGTAGAATGGGTTAGGTACACATGAAGGAATGCTATTTTACTGTTACATGAATGAACCAAATTTACATGTATCAATATGAATAAATCTTAAAAACGTGTTAATTGGAAAGTTGCAAAAGGATAAATACAGCATGATGAAAATGACATGTATGAAAACAGTTAAATGAAACAATAGTATGTACTTTTCGGGAACACATGCTTATGTTGTAAAAGTACAAACATAGGCGCAAAAGTGATGCAAGGCAATTTCAGGTAAGTTTTTACTTCTGAGGAAGGGTGCAGATGAAGAGGTGAAAATATATCCATATAATATTGTATGTCTATAAAAGAGAGAGAGATCAAACACACTGAAAAATGTTAACGTCTGCTTAATCTTGGTGGCAGAAAACAGGTCTGTTATATTGCGTTCTATCCTTTCCTGCATATTTCGTATTTCATAAGAAATGTTTGATAGTTTTTTTATAATGGAAAAAAAAATGCAGAGGTAGCCAAGAGTTAAAAGAAAGACCAAGCAGTGGTAGCAATTCCTCGAACTGAAAACTCATTCCCTATTTTTTTCAACAGGCATTTATTATAGATTTGCTATGTAACTTATTTTTGTGCTAGGAATTTGAATGAAATATCTTATTTTTTAAAGCCATGCCAGTGGTAATTATACCAGTGTTATTTAATAGGGGAACACTGTGCCTATGACTTTAACCAGCTAAAGTCAAACCCAGTAGGGATGCTTCGTTTTGCATAATACAGACCAGTCCAAGTCTTTAGTAACTGCTAGATTGTTCCTGGGTAATTGGAAGGCTGCTGAATCTTTTAAGGACATACTGCTGTTCATTCACTCAGCTTCTTCCTCATCATTCAGTGAAAACTAAACCATCTGTTGTAACGAATATAAGGCTTCCTGCCCTCAGTTCTATCTTCTGATTCCCCCACTAAATGCTGGTTGTCACTTTCAATTTAAAAAAACATCATTA